TTTTAGTGATGGTCACTCCTTGGATTAGTAGGTGTCTTGTGGCCAAATTTGGCGGCAATTCATCCAGTGGTTTTTGAGTTATGTTAACCACAAATGAACATTACATTTTTTAAAATTTATATACTAGCTGTACCTGCCACGCATTGCTGTGGCCAACCTTCCCTCCCTCTTTCTCTCCTTCTTTCTCTCCTTCCTTCCTTCCCTCCCTCTTTCCTTCCCTCCTTTTCTTTCCCTTCTTCTTCCTTCTCTACCTCTTTCTTTTCTCACTTCCTTTGCTCTTTGGTTCCATCCTTCCTTGTCTCTTCCTTCCTCCTCTTCTTCTTCCTTCCTTCCTTCCTCCTTCCATCTTTCTCCCCCTCCTTCTCTCTTCTTCCTTCCTTCTCTACCCTTTTTTTCTTCCTTCCTTCCTTCCTTCCTTCCTTCCCTCCCTCCCTCCCTCCCTCCCTCCCTCCCTCTTTCACTTTTTTATTTCCTTCTCTCCTTCCTTCCTTCTCTGCCTTTCTTTCTTTCTTTCCTTCTCTCTTTCTTTCCCTCTTTCTCCCCCTTCTCTCTTTCCTTCCTTCTCTACCTTCCTTTTTTCCTTCTTTCTCCCCCTTCTTCTTCCTTCCTTCTCTTTCCTTGTCTCTTTCCTTCCTTCCTTCCTTCCTTCCCTCCCTCTTTCTCTCTTTCGTTCCTTCTCTCCTTCCTTCCCTCTTTCACTTTTTTATTTCCTTCTTTCCTTCCTTCCTTCTCTACCTTTCTTTCTTTCCTTCTCTCCTTCTTTCCCTCTTTCTTTCCCTCCTTCTTCTTTCTCTCTCTCCTTCCTTCCTTCCTTCCTCCTTTCTGTGTCTGTGTTTTGTGTATGCATATATGCGTGTATATATTTCTGTATGTATTAGTGTATATGTGTATATATGTGTGTTTGTGTACATATATGGTTTTGTGCATGCGTTGTAATTTATTTTTGGGTTTGTTTGTTTTTTTTTTGCTTTTTCAGTCCCTTCTGCTGCATTTTCCAGTGTTTTTATGAGTGATGGTCACTCCCTGGCCTGGCAAGGGTCTTGTGTCCAAATTTGGTGTCAATTCATCCAGTGGTTTTTGAGTTATGTTCATCCCACAAACGAACATGACATTTTTATTTATATAGATTTCTCTGCCATTCATGTAACTTGTGTTTTGGCTTTTTAAGTCCCTTCCGCTGTGTTTTCCAGTGTTTTTCTGAGTGATGGTCACTCYTTGGCCTGAGAGATGTGTTGTGTCCAAATTTGGTGTCAATTTGTCCAGTGGTTTTTGAGTTCTGTTCATCCTACAAACGAACATGACATTTTTATTTATATAGATTTCTCTGCCATTCATGTAACTTGTGTTTTGGCTTGTTAAGTCCCTTCCGCTGTGTTTTCCAGTGTTTTTATGAGTGATGGTCACTCGTTGGCCTGAGAGATGTGTTGTGTCCAAATTTGGTGTCAATTTGTCCAGTGGTTTTTGAGTTCTGTTCATCCTACAAACGAACATGACATTTTTATTTATATAGATTTCTCTGCCATTCATGTAACTTATCCAGGACAGCTTACAGACAGAATCAAAGGCAATGTAAACAACAGGAAATAAGTTCTGAAAAGAACCCGGAGAGGATTTTGGGAAGCCCTTGGTCAGGTGCCAAAAAGATAACTGTGTCAATGCCTTTTGGGTTTCCATAGAAGGCCTCCAAAGTCAGGGCGCCACCACTTCCAATGCCCTCTCCTTGGTCTTATCTGTCTCCATTCATGTGGAGGGCACGGGCACCGGTGGAAAGGGCATCGACCTGTAGCAGCAAGCATGCCTTCGGGAGGTGATGTGAGGGGTGCGGGGAGGAATTGCCTCTGTTCTTGGCGTTCTGCAGCCTTGTTTCATTTCAGAGGCTGCTGACGGACGATAGATGTTGTGCACCATCACAGCCCACTTGAACATTTGTGTTGGGAAGTGTCTCCAGTGTCCAAATTCAAGGCCAGTGTGATCACCGAGTCTCGGAATCTTATCTCATCAAGATCAGCAGTTACGGTCCCACGGATCAAAGATGATGGACCCTTATTACAGAAAAATGGGAGATGTCTCAGCAACTAACCAAGAAGTTCTCTAGATCTTTTAATATGTGACAGATTACTCCAGAAGAAAATCCTCAGTCCTGGTAATATCTATATTTACCGTGTCAGAAGCGAGTCGAGGATAAAAAAACACAAAAAAAAATCAAACTTGACACACACAACCCCCATGACCCCTATATGCTGTGGTGCAATTTGGGGGAGGATGGACAAAGGATGATGGGATTTGCAGTATTTTCAAATGTTTCGGGTCCCAGAGACCACTGTGGCCCCCTACAATGACAGATCTGGACCAAACTTGGCACACAGACCCCCCCCCCCCCAATGATCCACTTTACATCCTGTTGTGGTTTGAGGGAGGGTGCACCATGGATGATGGGATTTCCAATACCTTCACTCGCTTCCTGAGACTGCTGTGAGTCACACCAATGACGGATCAAGAACAAACTTGGCACACAGGGCCCAGATGGCCCACTTTACAGCCTGGTGTGGTTTGGGGCACAGGCTGAACCACGGATGATGGGATTTGCAGTACCTTCACCCAATTCATCTCCCACAGAACACTGCGGCCCCCACAAATCACAGACCTCAACCAAACTTGGCACACAGACCAACCATGACCCATTTTACGTCCTGGTGCAATTTTCGGGAGGACAGCCCATGGATGATGGGACTTGCAGTACCTTCTCTCATTTCCTGAGACCACTGTGACCCACACCATAACCGATAAAGACCAAACCTGGCACACAGACCCCCCATGACCCACCCTGGTGCAGTTTGGAGGAGGATGGACCATGGATTATGGGACGTGCAGTACTTCCTGATACCACTGCGACCCTCATCCAATGACTGCTCAAGACTAACATGGCACATGGACCCAACATGACTCTCTCTACATCCTTTACATCCTGGTGAAGGATGATGGACCATGGATGTTGGCACTTGCAGTACTTTCACAGATTTCATGAGACTTCATGAGACCACTGTGGCCCACACCAATGACAGATCAAGATCAAATTTGGCACACAGAGCCCCGATAGCCCACTCTACATTCTAGGGCGGTTTGGAAGACTTTGGACCATGGATGATGGAAATTGCAGTGTCTTCACTCACTTCTTCAGAGCATTCTGACCCACACCAATGAGTGATCAATATTGAATTTGGCATACGGAACCCCCCGACTCACTCTACATCCTGGTGTGGTTTGTGGGATGATGGACCATATATGATGGGACTTACAGTACCTCCACTCACTTCCTGAGACCACTGCAACCCACACCAATGACTGATCAAGACCAAATTTGGCACCCAGAGCCCTCATGACCCATTCTACATCCTGGTGCAGTTTGGAGGATGATGGACCATGGACGATGGTACTTGCATATGGGAGCTGTAGTTCACCTGCACCCACTGAACCCACCTGACATTGGATCTAGATTAAACTTGGAGCACAGGCAAACAGTGCCTTTCTCAAATAACCCGGGCACTGACGGGTCCCCAAGCTAGTAATAATAATCTATATAAATAAAAATGTAATATTCATTTGTGGGATTAACAGAACTCAAAAACCACTGGACAAATTGACACAATACACCTAACAACCCAATGTATGTCCTTCACTCAAAAAATGGTTTTTGTCATTTGGGAGTTGTAGTTGCTGGGATTTATAGTTCACCTACAATCAAAGAGCATTCTGAACCCCACCAACGATGGAATTGAACCAAACTTGGCACACAGCTCCCATGACGAACAGGAAACACTAGAAAGGTTTGGTGGGCAGTGTCCTTTGGTTTTGGAGTTGTAGTTCACCAACATCCAAAGATCACTGTGGACTCAAACAATGATGGATCTGGGCCAAACTCTACATCGAATACTCAATATGCCCAAATGTGAACACTGGTGGAGTTTGGGGAAAATAGAATGTTCACATTTGGGAGTTGTAGGTGCTGGGATTTATAGTTCACCTACAATCAAAGAGCATTCTGAACCCCACCAACGTTGGAATTGAATCAAACTTGGCACACAGAACTCCCATGACGAACAGGAAACACTAGAAAGGTTTGGTGGGCAGTGTCCTTTGGTTTTGGAGTTGTAGTTCACCAACATCCAAAGATCACTGTGGACTCAAACAATGATGGATCTGGACCAAACTCTACACGAATACTCAATATGCCCAAATGTGAACACTGGTGGAGTTTGGGGAAAATAGAATCTTGACATTTGGGAGTTGTAGTTGCTGGGATTTATAGTTCACCTACAATCAAAGAGCATTCTGAACCCCACCAATAATAGAATTGGGCCAAACCTTCCATACAGAACCCCCATGTGTGCCACAGCAACGCGTGGCAGGGGACAACTAATAATAATAATAATAGAGTAAAATAATAAATGTAATAAAAATAATAATAGAGTAAAATAATGTAAATATAATAACAATAATAGAATAAATTAATAAATGTAAAAATAATAATAATAGAGTAAAGTAATGTAAATATAATAATAACAATAATCAGAATATAATAATTGAAATAAAAATAATAATAGAGTAAAATAATAAATGTAATAATAATAATAATAATAGAGTAAAACAATAAATGTAATAATTATAGAGTAAAATAATAAATGTAATAATAATAATAATAATAACAGCAGAGTAAAATAATAAATACCTTTGACTCGAGTATAAGCTGAGGGGACCTTTTTCAGCATAAAAAGGGGCTGAAAAACTCGGCTTATACTTGAGTATATACAGTAAATCGTTAACAGCTAATTTGTATGATTGCAACATTGAATTATCAGGGGAATAAACAGGTATTCTGTGCTGGATTTGGTGATATCAGGCAGCTTTCCACTAGAATATATCTTCTTTTAATTTGGTAGCAGTGGGAATGTAGTAGAGATTGGAGAGTTGACTGAAATGTTTGTGTTTATCTTTGCAGCGTCTTTGCCATGTTTTGCCCTGCGCGTTGTGGAAGATGTGCCTTAGTGCTCCAGCTCTGCCTGCTGGGCTTCTCCGGCTGTGCCTGGGCCAGCAAAGAGTCCTCCTTGCCGCCTCCGCTCACAGCCGCCTCCTTCCTGCAGGACCTCTTCCTCCGCTACGGGGAGCATGACGCCCTGACTCTGCCGCAGCTGAAAGCCCTCCTGAACCGCCTCGACGTGGGAGTTGGGCGCAGCAACGTCAGTCACGCAGAGCCGCAGCGCAAGAATCTCTCCTGGGTAATGTGCCACATTCACTTGAAATCTTTCCGTCCCACTTTTGAATCCAAATGAGTCCATGTAGCAAATGACAGAAATTAAAGCACACGCCGACGTACTAGATCAGTGATGGGCAACCTTTTGAGCTTAGTGTGTCAAAATTTGCCAAAAACCTGAGCATAACTTGGGTGGGGTGTCAACTTCGAGAAAAACCCCCCATAATTTTGCAATATTTATAGTTTAAATAAGAAAAATGTATATTCCATGCTGAGTTATGGAGTGAACAATGCTCAAACGTGCAGATGTTAAATTTGTAGAGCCTTTTACAAATTTAAGGATGGAATTAGATTGGCTCTTATAAGGTGTACTTCGCTGTATACGGCCGCATGTGGCCGCGTGTCATCAGTGCTGACACGCGTGTCATAGGTTCACTATCACGGTACTAGATTGAAATGGATCAAAAAGAGCCCAAAATAGAGGGTGAACAGTTAACTCTCAATGTAGTGTCGAAGGCTTTCGTGGCCGGAATCACTTGGTTGTTGTGAGTTTTCCAGTCTGTCTGCCCATGTCCCAAAAGCATTCTCTCCTGACGTTTTGCCTACATCTATGGCAGGCATCCTCAGAGGTTGACACAAATACCCAATACACCCAAACCTTTGAGGATGCCTGACATAGATGCAGGTGAAACGTCAGGAGAGAATGCTTCTGGAGCATGGCCAGACAGACCGGAAAACTCACAACAACCCAGTTAATATCTCACTCACTTGGTCCAGATTTCTCCATGAAACCAAATTGTTTGGACTAAATGCCAGTTAGATGTCAACAAGGAAGAAACAAGGCAGCAGGTCCAGATGTTGAATGTTGTTGTGTCTCTGTTGATTTTAAGTATGTAAAAACCCAGTTGTTTGAATTGATCTTTTCTATCTGAGAATAAATGAGAAGATACTATTGAGAATCTGTGGAATAGAAGTATTTGTTTTATTTATTTATTTACAGTATTTGTATTCCGCCCTTCTCCTCACCCAGCAGGGGACTCAGGGCGGATTACAACGTACACATCTATGGCAAACATTCAATGCCAAAGACACACAACAGATATAGACAGACACTCAGAGGCTGTTTAACTTTTCTGGCCGCCAGATAAGACTGCCCAACTCTGATTAAATCATTCTGACCTTCTTCAATGTAAATGTGCTTGTGTATCCTTCCAATAAAAATAAATAGATTTAAATAATAAAGGTAATAATAATAATAATAATAATAATAGAGTAATATAATGGAAATGTAATATTAACAATAAGAATAAATAGAGTAAAATAATAAATGCAATAATAATAATAAAGTAAAATAATAAATGTAATAATAATAATGCATTTATTTTCTATATAAATAAAAATGTCATGTTGGTTTGTGGGATTAACAGAACTCAAAAACTACTGGACGAATTGACACCAAATTTGGACACAAGACACCTAACAACCCAATGTATGTCCTTCATTCAAAAAAAATATTTTGTCATTTGGGAGTTGTAGTTGCTGGGATTTATAGTTCACCTACAATCAAAGAACATTCTTAACTCCACCAACGATGGAATTGAACCAAACTTGGCACACAGTTCTCCCATGACCAACAGAAAATACTGGAAGGGTTTGGTGGGCAGTGTCCTTTGGTTTTGGAGTTGTAGTTCACCTGCATCCGGAGATCATTGTGGACTCAAACAACGATGGATCTGGATCAAACTCTACACGAATACTCAATATGCCCAAATGTGAACACTGGTGGAGTTTGGGGAAAATAGAGTCTTGACATTTGGGAGTTGTAGTTGCTGGGATTTATAGTTCACCTACAATTACAGAGTATTCTGAACCCCTCCAATGATAGAATTGGGCCAAACCTCCCACACAGAACCCCCATGTGCGCCACAGCAACGCGTTGCAGGGGACGACTAGTAACAACAATAATAAAGTAAACTAATAAATGTAAAAATAATAATGCATTTATTATGTATTTATAACAGAGTAAAATAATAAATAACCTTGACTCAAGTATAAGTCGAAGGGGACTTTTTCAGCCTAAAAAAGGTCTGAAAAACTAGGCTTATCCTCGAGTGTATACAGTACTTTATGTGTCTCTCTTTCTTCTGTAGTGTTTCAGTTCTTCAGACCTTTTTGCCACCCACAATCTGAGCGAAGGGTCCCACATTGGCCAAAGTGAATTCCAAGAATTCTGCCCAACTATTCTGCAACAGCTGGAGTCAAGAGCCTGCTTGGCAGAGAACCTCGAGAATGAAGAAAACGAGCARACGGAAGAGGGGAAGCCAAGTTCTGCAGAAGGTGTGTACTTAACAAATCTCCCAGCCTAGCTAAAACTGGTAATACAGACTAACATAACCCCCCCCCCCCCCACCACCACCCTTCAAGTTCTGGACATCCATTTTGTTCTACAAATATTGTAGCAACAAGAACTGGTTCTGAGAACTGGATTTTTATAGCTTAAGGCAGGGGTCCTCAAAGTAAGGCCCGGAGGCCGAATACGGCCCTCCAAGATCATTTATCTCGGCCTTTGCTCAGGGTCAACCGAAGTCTGAAACGACTTGAAAGTACGCAACAACAACAACAACAATCCTATCTCATCACCCAAAAGCAGGCCCACACTTCCCATTGAAATACTAATAAGTCTATATTTGTTTAAATTGTTTTTCGTTTTAATTATTGTATTGTTTTAAAGTATTTTTTGCACTTATTTATTTGTCGTGTCAGGACAACCAGTCAAATTATATTACATTTCTAACAGAACAAAGCAAACAAACAAAGTACAAAATTTGCAAGTTTGGTAGCTGATTAAATGTCCTTTGAGCAGTCTCTGTCCCCTTGGAGTGCCTCTGGTGTTGCCGCAAGAAGGTCCTCCCTTGTGCATCATGTGGCAGGGCTCAGGGTGCATTGCAGCAGGTGGTCAGTTTTTGCACTACAAATAAGATACGTACAGTATGCATAGGGATTCGCTCATGTTTTTTTTTTCAAATTGTAATCCGGCCCGCCAACAGTTTGAGGGACTGTGACCTGGCCCTTTGTTTAAAAAGTTTGAGGACCCCTGGCTTAAGGGCTGAGATATTGGGGAGCAAAAGGGGCCCGACCACCATTTTGTTTGGGAGTTTTGATTGGGCTTGGATAGGCATGCCCTTTCTGTTGAAACAGATTAATTTGGGGTTGCAGAATGAGAATCCAGAAGAGCTTAGAACAGTAGTTCTCAACCTGGGGTCCCCAGATATTTTTGGCCTACAACTCCCAGAAATAATAATAATAATAATAACAAACAAACAAACAAACAATTCTTTATTGATTAGTCAATTTTGACCATATCAAAACATATAGAACATACAAAACATACACACTTGCCCATACGTACAATAAAACCATAGATGAATACAAGGTAATCTTAATAGTATTCGATTTAAAACTGCCTTGAGAGTGACCAAGAGGAAGCCTGAGCAGTACAATGGGGAGAGAGAGAAGCTGAAGACTACCCCTCTCTTTGAACCCAAGGAATGTAAATACAAATATAAATCAACACCAAGGAATGCAAATATAAATACAAATAATAATAACACTTTATTTGTACCCTGCTGCCATCTCCCCATGGGACTCGGTACAGCTTACATGAGGCCGAGCCCAAACACAACAATACAGCAATAACAACACAGTACAAGCAATTAAAAACACATAAACGATAAGATACACAACATTATCAATAAAGCAACACATAATTTAAAACAGTGGGAAGGCCAAATGTAAAATTAAAATTGGAAATAATGCTGGGACATGAACGTATGGTGATAGTGGTGTTTGTGGAAGGGCATGCGAGCAGACTTAGAAAAGGTAAAGTGCTTTGGAGGACAAAGTGCTATGGGTCAATCCCAGCCAGTTTACCAGCTGTTAGGATTTCTGGGAGTTGGAGGCCAAAACACATCTGGGGAGAGACCCACAGGCTGAGAACCACTGGCTTAGAAGATAAAACCAGTAGTCTGGGATTGCCAGCGTGACTGTGCCCTTCCCACCCCGCGTATGCCCAGCTCCGTCCAATCCAGAGGTCCCTTCCTGTTTCCAACGAGTCAGGTAAACCTGCCCTGCTTTCTTCTCGTTCCACAGTCTGGGGCTTTGGCTTCCTCAGTGTTTCACTGATTAACCTGGCCTCCCTCCTCGGCGTCTTCGTCGTGCCCTGCACTGAGAAGGTTTTTTTCGCCCGCATCCTAACATATTTCATCGCGCTCTCCATCGGGACGCTGCTCTCTAACGCATTGTTCCAGCTGATCCCAGAGGTGCAGTAAGATACACCCACACCCACACGCTCACCAATCCACTCACAATCACGTCACTTTCCCCTCTTGAGTCACTCAGAAGGAGAACTTGTTCTATGTATTGTCGAAGACTTGCATGGCCAGAGTTACTGGGTCGTTGTAGGTTTTTCGGGCTTCTAGAACATGGCCATACAGCCCGAAAAACCTACAACGACCCAGAACTTATTCTTCCCTAGTTCCTTTTGAAGATCATATTTTCCATTAGATAATTAGGGAAGACAAAACAATACATCCTTCATAGAGTTGCTGTGAGTTTTCCAGGCTGTATGGCCATGTTCCAGAAGCATTCTCTCCTCACGTTTCGCCTGCATCTATGGCTAAAGGCATCCTCAGAGGTCGTGAGGCCTGTTGGGAACTAGGAAAATTGCGTTTATATGTCTGTGGAATGTCCAGGGTGGGAGGAAGAACTCTTTGTCTGTTGGAGGAAAGTGTGAATGCTGCAATTGATCACCTTGATTAGCATCGAATCGCCTTGCAGATTCAAGGTCTGGCTGCTTCCTGCCTGGGGGAATCATTTGTTGGGAGGTGCTAGCTGGTCCTGATTGTTTCCTGTCTGGAATTCCCTTGCTTTTTGAATGCTGTTTTTTATTTACTGTCCTGATTTTAGAGTTTTTTAAAATACTGGCAGCCAGATTTTGTTCATTTTCAGGGTTTCCTCCTTTTTGTTGAAATTGCCCATATGCTTGTGGATTTCAGTGGCACCTAATTTGTCGGAGTTCCAGCGCCATGGAATCGTTGCAGCATGCCCGAATCAGTTGCAAATGGCATATCAATCACTAATCAATGTCTCCTTTCTCTCTCTCTCTCTTTCTCTCTCTCTGTCTTCATTCCCTCTTCCCCACCTTCGGGGAATTCCTTTCTGTGCCTTTTCTTTCTTTGTTGTGATTCCCCCTCCGTTGTCCCCTCCTTCCGCCACGCTTTCATTTGGGTGGGGACGGCGCTTGCACACGCCAGTGTGGGGCTTTGGCTTCCTCTGCGTGACCATCATTTCCCTCTGCTCCCTGGTCGGGGCCAGCGTGGTTCCCTTCATGAAGAAGACCTTTTACAAGCGGCTGCTCCTCTACTTCATAGCCCTGGCCATTGGCACCCTCTACTCCAATGCCCTCTTCCAGCTCATTCCTGAGGTAGGACCAAGGCCTCCAGGCCTTTCCAAATGGGGGTCTTTTTCTTATGTGCCCTTTGTCATGTATGCCAAACAGCAGTCTTGTATATGCTCATAAAAGCTAGGTTTTGTGGGCACTTTTTGTGCAAAATCCACATATTGTACGCAATATGAGAAAAAAACAAAGTTTAAAAATGCTATTTTTTTGTTTAAAATCACTGAATTTACACAAAACTCCTGGCAGTCCCTTTTCCCCATGATAATTTATTTTATTTATTTAGAAGTTTTATATACCGGTCTTCTCGCCTCCGAGGAGGGACTCAGGCCGGTTCACAACAGGCCGGTTCATATACAGTAATATAAAAACAGCACAATGCATCATCATTATACATTAAAATATAAAATACAATAAAATACATCATCACATTACTCAAGCCAAGTGGTCAATACAGTCACAATTCATCGTCATCCTTCCATGTGGACAAGGGTTATTGACTCAATCCTCAAATGCCATATTCCAAAGCCAGGTTTTTATTAGTTTCCTAAAGGTCAGGAGGGAAGGAGCAGATCTAATTTCCGGTGGGAAGGAACTCCAAAGCCGAGGGGCCACCACCGAGAAGGCCCTGTCCCTCGTTCCCAACAAACGCGATTGCGAGGGTGGTGGGACCGAGAGCAGGGCCCCTCCGGAAGACCTTAGTAACCTTGATGGTTCGTAGGGGAGAATCCGTTCGGACAGGTATTTTTATTTTATTATTTATTTCAAAGTTTTCTATACCGAACTTCTCAACCTCATTGAGGGACTCAGCCCGGTTTCCAACCATAAAAACACATACACTCATTAAAATATCATATATCACAATTACAGTAACAGATTTAAAATAACACTATATATAAAACTACGGTGGTCAATCGTCGTAAAACAGATCTACATCATCTTCCATCCAGAGTCCTAGGGTGTTGTCTCATTCATCGAGACAACTGGGCCGGAGTGAATTTCCCTTCCTAGTGATAGATTTATCTTCTTGTTGTCTCACGCCTGTTCTTAACTATGGGCCATTTTTTTTTGTCATGTCAGGAGCGACTTGAGAAACTGCAAGTCACTTCTGGTGTAAGAGAATTGGCCATCTGCAAGACATTGCCCAGGGAACGTTGCCCGGGTGTTTGTTTTTTTTCTTAAATTTTTATTGAACATTTTAAACACAAACACATGGAAAGAGAGGGAACATTTAGCAAGAAGATAGAAAAGTAGGAAACATATCCACCACCAAAGATAGAAAGGAAAAAAGGGGAAAAAATCCCCCAAAAAAGATGCAAAAAGAGAAAGAAAAACAAAAGTTGCCCGGATGTTTTGATGTTTTTATCTTCCTTGTGGGAGGCTTCTCTCATGTCCCCGCATGAGGAGCTGGAGCTGATAGAGGGGGCTCATCCACCTCTCCCCAGATTTGAACCTGCGACCTGTCGGTCTTCAGTCCTACTGGCACAGGGGTTTAACCCACTGCGCCACTGGGCCATGTGTAAGTCAGATATTTGTAACCTGGGGACTGCCTGTAAAAAAATTAATAAAATAAAACTTTATTTCTACCCCGCCACCATCTCCCTGATGGGGACTCGGGGCGGCTTACATGAGGCCAAGCCCGGACAACATATTACAGCAAAATAAAACCAAAACATAAGCAACAAGCAACAGCATCAAAATTACATAAAAACATATCAATACAGTAACATATATAACATTACAATAAGCACAATCACAGTGACAGTGGGCGGGCCACATGTGTAGTATAAAATGTTAAAAAACTCAAATGAGATAAGAAGAGGAGCAAGATATATGCAAGAGGGAGCTCATAAGGAAACACAGGGTTGTGGAACCAAACTTTCTCATTAGAAGGGCATGCACTCCAGTGACAGAAGCATTGAGGGGAGCAATAGTGTCATGTTGGGCACCTACTCGCCAAAGGCACAGCGGAAGAGCCAGGTTTTAAGGTTCTTTTTAAAGGTTTCTAGGGTAGGGGCTTTCTTGATCTCTCCCAAGTAATGAGTTCCAGAGTCGGATTTGGCCATGGAGGTCCACGCCTTAGTTACCTCTAGATTGGACTATTGCAATCTGCTCTACATGGGGCTGCCCTTGAAGATGGCCCGGAAATAAATTCCAACTGGTCCAACGAGTGGCAGCCAGACTACTAACTGGTGTGAATTACAGGGAGCGGTCAACCCCCTTGTTTAAGGAGCTCCATTAGCTACTGTTTATATTCCGGTCCCAATTCAAGGTGTCCTAGGATTGTGTTTTTCCCTTATGGCAGAGGGAGGTTGGACTGGATGGCACTTGGAGGTATCTTGCAACACTAGGATCCTATTACTGTGGATTCCTCCCAAACCCCTCCAGTATCTTCTGCTGGTCATGAAGGTTCTGTGGGCCAAGTTTGGTTCAGATCTGTCATTTGTGGGGGTCTTAGTGGTCTGTGGAAGTCTGAGCTGTATCACTTGAAGGTACTCCAAACCCCATCATCTGTTGTCCATACTCCCCAAACTTATTGTTTTTGTGATTAATCAGTATGCTTTAATTATGATCAATTTATAACAACAGAAATACAATGTATTGTTGAAGACTTTCAACATAAATACTTCCTGCACATCAGATATTTACACGATGATTCAGAACAGGAGCAAAATTACAGTTATGAAGGAGCAATGAAAATAGTATTATGGTTGGGGGACACCACAACATGAGGAACTGCATTAAGGGGTTGTGGCATTAAAGAAGTATAGAAACACTGCTAAAGACATCCTATAAAAATAAATAAAATACTGTCTGTGTATTTATGATTAACATAAATAAAAAACCACTGGACGAATAGAGAGCAAATTTGGAATATATATATATATATATATATATATATATATATATATCAATCAGGCCAGCAACAAGTGATCATCACTCATAAAAACACTGAAAAACACAACAGAAGACACTAAAAATTAATATTATTATCAAGCAGAGTCTTCATGGCCATCTGTTATGAGTGCTAGGATTGTGTTTTTCCCTTATGGCAGAAAAAGCAAAAAACATTACAATGCATGCGCAAAACAACATTTTTACACATATACACACATATATACATTTACACACACACAAAATACATATACACAGACTGGGCCACAGCAACGCGTGGCAGGGGACAGCTAATAATAATAATAATAATAATAATAATAATAATAATAATAATAATACACTTTATACCCCGCCACCATCTCCCCAGTGGGGACTCGGAGCGGCTTACTTGGGGCCAAGCCCGGACAACAAATTACAGCAATAAAATTAGAGCATAAACGACAAATAACAACAACATCCAAAAAAAAAAAAAGCAGTCATAAAAGGTAGCGAACAGGCAGTCAGTGGAGTTGACATAACATGGGAGCTGTGTGCTCCCTGTATGCTGCCCCAGTTATTAGCCTGGCTGCCTCTCGTTCGGACTATTTGAAGCTTCCGAACAGTCTTCAAAGGCAGCCCCATGTAGAATGTGTTGCAGTAGTCTATCTTGGATGTAACGAGAGCATGGACCACCGTGGCAAAGTCTGACTTCCCAAGGTACGGGCGCAGCTGGCACACAAGTTTCAATTGTGCAAAAGCCCCCCTGGCTGTAATGGAAGTAAAAGAAACAGACTAAACAAACAGTTATGGTATAGATCACAAAAGGAGGGTGGACTAGCACTACGTAATATAAAAAAATATTATGAAGCAAGTAGATTAAGTTTGGTTATAGAAGGAATGGTTAAAAAAGAGGGGATAGATTGGCTTAGTAATGATTCAGGAAAAGTGGAAGATGAAACCTGGAATATATTTTTTAAACAGTTTACTAGAAAAGAAATGAGGGAAATTAGAAACCCAATGCTGAGTAACATACTGAAAGTATGGAATAAATATAAGGGGAGGTTAATAAAGGAGGGATCAATTATAACCCCAATAGTGATGGAAAAGAAGTTCCCAAAAATTTAAAAAAGTAATGGATAAAAAGGTAAGGGAAATAAATTTAGATAGGATAGGGGATTGGATGAAGGTGGAAATGAAGAGGGAAATGATGTTGGAAGAGTTTAAAGAAATAAAATTGTCATGGTTTCATTGTATACAATTAGAACAATGGCTAATAAACTGGAAAAAAAACAATAGAAATGGAAGCCAACTCAATCAATTCGAACAAATAATACAGAAGGGAAGGGCTGTAGAAGAATATGAAAACTTGAGAGGTATAATTAGCAAAATTTATAAGATACTAATTGAAATGAAGGATGAAAAAATAAAAAAGTGCACCCTTAAAGAGATTTGGGAAGAGGATTTAGGGATAAAAATAAGTGAAATAGAGTGGCAACAATTATGAGGACAAAGACATTTAAAAAATTTATCGATACGAGTTAAAGAAAACTATTACAAGTTAATATGGAAGTGGTACTTGACACCGGTAAGAATAGCATATATGAATAAAAATAACTCAATAAATTGTTGGAGAGGGTGTCAAGAACCAGGAACATATATACACATGTGGTGGCAATGTAAATATGTAAATAATTTTTGGGAGAAAGTATTTAGAGAAATAGAAACAATAATGAATATGAAAATAGATAAAAGTCCTAGTATAGCCATACTATCATTATATAACAATAAGCGACTGAAAAAGGAGGATAAAGAAGCGATAACAAACTTACTAACTATAGCAAGACTTCTTATAGCAAGGAATTGGAAAAAAGAAATGAATATACAAATAGAGGAGTGGTATAAGGAAGCATGGAAAATAGCAATAAATAGATAAATTGACATGTATATTAAAGGTTAAAAAAGGTACATGGAAACAAAGCGATTTTGATGCTGTATGGGGAAGATTTGTGGTAAATGGATTAAAAAATAAGGAAGGAAAATTACCGTCACAAGAAGAAATGAAATTTTGGACAGATGAAATGTAAGAATGGTGGCTTGAGACGGGTGGAGGGGAGCACTGTGGTGGAAAAAAGGGGGAAAAAAAGAGAAAAGGGGGAAATGTCAAAGCAAAACAACAAAACAATATGTTAAAGAGGCTGATGTACAAAATGCAATAGTGTGTAATAAATGTGATAAATCAATAAAAATTAATTTAAAAAAAAAAAAAGCCCCCCTGGCCACTGCTGCAACCTGGAGATCCAGGCTCAGCGATGAGTCTAAGAGGACTCCCAACCTTTACCTGTACTTTACTCCCGACTTAGGTCTATTTATTTATTTATTTATTTATTTCGGGTACTTTTATCCCGCCCTTCTCAACCCCCGAAGGGGGACTCAGGGCGGCTTACAAAAGGCACAATTCGATGCCTATACAAAAATTATACATAGTGTACAAAACCATAGTTATCACAGTTAAAACAATCATAACAATCAATATACATCACATCATATAAAAACTATTCACATGCTCAGCGTTTGTCTTTCAGAGTTCCATAGTTCCATTCCATTAGTCATTTCCTGGCCATTCTCAAAGTCCTTTCTTTATCTGCACGATTGTCCGAATGCCTGGTCCCAAATCCATGTTTTCAGTTTTTTCCTGAAGGAAAGGAGTGATGTCTGATTTCCCCGGGGAGCGAATTCCACAGGTGGGGGGCCACCACCGAGAAGGCCCTGCTCCTCGTCCCCGCCAACCTCACTTGTGATAGAGGCGGGGTCGAGAGCAGGGCCTCCCCAGAAGATCTTAGACTCCGGGGTGGGACGTAAAGGGATATTATTGCTATAATAACATGTACACAGGGCCATTAGCCAACCTCTGGAAATATCTCTATAAGCGAAATGAGAGGACTGTTTCCAATATTGCGGGTGCTTTTGCTTCTTCCCAGATTATGAGAAATTGGGGAGGGAAGCAGCCTAGACATTGTCAGTTTGCAATTCTGTCGCGATGTGTTTCACAGACCCTTTTCTGCCGCTCCTCTACAGGCGTTTGGATTCAATCCCCAGGAAGACTATTACGTCTCCAAATCCGCCGTCGTGTTTGGGGGCTTTTATCTCTTCTTTTTCACAGAGAAGATACTGAAGATGCTTCTGAAACAGAAAGACCAGGTGAGGCAAGGCAGACTCCTTTCTCCTCAGGTAACCCATGTCACAAATCACTGGCTGAGGGTCTACTATACATACACAGTTTATTTTCCTTTCCTTTCCTTTCCTTTTTTCCCCTTTGACTCCCTGTATCATAGAATATATCCAGAAGCATTTCATGACATTATCTGCAAGTTATCTATTGAGACGGCTGTGCTGTTCTTCATCTTTCATAGAAAAGCCCTAATAAATTTTAAATTATTGCATTTGGCTCAGCCATAGGTTTTTAATGCTTGTTATTGTTACTGTTTATTGTTTACTTTTGTTTATGAGATTTATTTTAACGGTTGAATTGATTGTTTTCTTATTGCTTTTACTGTTGATGGACTTTGGGCTCGGCCTCATGTAAACCGCACCAAGTCCCTTGGGGAGGTGGTAGCGGGGTATAAATAAAGTATTATTATTATTATTATTATTATTATTATTATTATTATTATTATTATTATTAGCCTTTGGGAAATGTCAGGGTTTCCCTTCAGGGCATTTTGTGAAATACTGCCATTCCTGTAGCAGTTGCAGGGAAGAGAGGCCCACATATAAATTGAGGGATTTGGGAAGTTGTAACTTCCAAAAAGTAAGTTAAAAAGTAAATATTTACAAACTCAAGGAAGAGAGGCCCATACCTAAATTGAGGGATTTGGGAAGTTGTAACTGCCAAAAATTAAGTTTAAAAGTAAACATTTACAAACTCTGGAACTAAACTAACATACACAGAGAACTTTGTTTTTGCTTCTGATTAGTATTTTTTTTTTGGTCCTAATAAAAATACAGCCATCCTATTGGGTTTGGATATTTTTTCCTCTAAAAGAAAGACACTGGTGCATACAATTTTTGGAGGTTAAACACTGCAGTAAGTTTTATTTATTTATCGTGTCAGAAGCGAATTGAGGGCACAGTTATAATGTACTTAAAAACACAAACAAACTTAAAAACTTGGCATTATACTAATGTCCTTTGAGAGTGCCTCTGGTGTGGCTGTGAGAAGGTCCTCCATTGTGCATGTGGCAGGGCTCAGGTTGCATTGTAGTCAGTGGTCTGTGGCTTGCTCTTCTCCACACTCACATGTCGTGGACTACACTTTATAGCCCCATTTCTTAAGGTTACAGAGCTAACATCTTGTGGTGCCAGAGCGCAGCCTGTTCAGTGCCTTCCAAGTTGCCCAGTCTTCTGTATGCCCAGGAGGGAGTTTCTCATCTAAAGTTCCGGGTTTTTGCCTGCCACTTTTGGACTCTCGATTGCTGAGGTATTCCTATGAGTATGTCTGTGGATCTTAGGAAGCTGTTTCTTGATTTAAGGCATTGGTATGCTGGCCGACATCCTAACAGAGGATGGGCTGGAGATGTCCATGCCTTGGTCCTTTCATTACAGGCTGCTACTTCCCAGCGGATGTCAGGTTGTGCACTACAGGCTAAATCAGAGGTCCTCAAACTTTTTAAACAGAGGGCCAGGTCACAGTCCCTCAAACTGTTGGAGGGCTAGATTATAATAAAAAAATGACGTGTTTTATCTCACAATTCAGCAGCAGATCAGTTGCACAACTTCAGCGCTTTCCAGTGGCTTCTTCCTGCACAGTATTTTCAGTCAACTGCTCCCACAGGCTGCAGTCACTCTGGAACTTTTTACAGACACTTGAGCACATGCCCGGCCATTGTCAGTTTTACCATTGTTTTCCCCTCCAATCTAGATGACACTACAAACTTACCACAGCACACGGTTATATCTTGTCTTAGCAGACAGTTTTTTTAATCAGTTACACTGAGCCTTCGGCAAACAGCATCACAGCACAAAGAGAGAAATATACACTGTACATGACTTCCTTATATACAATTCTGTACATTTATACATAGCAATCTCTGATTGGTTCCCAACTCATTGACTTAACTCAAACCCAGGATTGCATCATTCACAATCACCTGGACCAGGCCAGAACACATTCCCCAAATGATGTCCTATATTAAGCCTATTAGCAGTGCATGACTCAGCTATATTACATTGCAATACATTGTAAAACCTGACAAAAAACATGAATTAATTCTTATGCATACTGCACATATCTTATTGATACCACTTAAAAACAATAAAATAATTAAAACGAAGAACAATTTTAATAAATATAAACATATTGGTATTTCAATGGGAAGTGTGGGCCTGCTTTTGGCTGATGAGATAGGATTGTTGTTGTTGTTGTTGTTGTGTGCTTGCAAGTCATTTCAGAGTTAGGTTGACCCTGAGCGAGGGTCGAGTAAATAACCTTGGAGGGCCGTATCCAGCGCCCGGGCCTTAGTTTGAGGACCCTTGGACTAAACTGTAATTTCTCTAGTGGTGTAGAGCGTAGATATCCTGTGATAATGTGGCATGTCTCATTAAGCGCCACACCCACTGTTTTAAGGTGGTGAGATGTATTCCAGGCTGGGCATGTGTACTCAGCAGCAGAGTAGCTTTGCTATTCTGCAGTAAGTTACCAGCCCAGAATAAAAACTTTTGAGAAAAATGCTAAATTGAGTATTTCTTAACCGGATGATATCCATGTGTGATCCCCTCTGATGGTAACTGTCAGAACTCAGATGCCTAAAAGAGCCAGACACAGTAATGTAAACAAATCAACAGTTTATTAAATCAAAGCAAACAAGACTCAGGGACACTTCTTTCTGGCCAAAACTCAAAGTTTGCAGCAATTTGCATCTTAAAAAACAAACTAAGCAAATAAACCGGATTAAGCTGGCAAATAATCTGGATTAAATAAGAGTTCAAGCAAAATGCACCAAAATCACACAGTTCAAAGATAAAGCCAAAACAAAACGCTGTGAAGAGAAGCCGTCATCCAAAAGCAGTCCAAAGTCGAAGGAGTCCCAGTAGAAGATATTAAAGTCCAAGAAGCAGCGTCGTCGTCAGAAACAGTCTGTGGTCAAGGAGAGGGGAAATCCGCACTTACAAGAATCCAAGCCAATCAGCACACGAAGAATACAGCAACCTGCAGTTCCAGGACCCAAGCCCAACAAGAGAAGCGGCAGCAACAAAGCCCAAGGCACGTATCCAACACTTTGCCTACTGCAAAGTTCCATTCTTCCAGTGCCTTCATTTATGCTACAACTCATCATCCGTTGATGAGCTGCCCTCCGCCCTTTCCTCATCACTATCAGCTGTCTTACCCTTTACAGCTGAGCACCAACACCCATCTCTCCAACTCTTCCACCTCTTGTCAAGACTTAAGTCTCCCCATGAATCTCTGGTATCCCCAGACTGCCAATCCCCAGAAAAGCCCTCAAACGTATCACTGGATGTGGGTTGCATGCACACATTCCTGACTTCTTGCACTTGAGTCCAATCCAATGGTTCCCCTTCATCCTCACTACTCCCAGACCCATTACTTCCAATAAAGCCCATGAAATCCTCATCTTCAGTGGGAACACTAATTATGCCCCGGATCCTTTTCCTCTGACGTTCTTCGTCTGACTCCTGCTCTCGAGTAATCCGTTTGACACCTCTATTCCCATCTCCTCCCTCCTCCTCACACATTTCACTTTCTGAGAAACCTTCGAAAGAGTCTTCGTCTTTGGGAGACATAAGTATCTCCCGGATACGCTTCCTTTGTTTTTCTTCCTCAAGCACCTGAGCACCTCGTTTGCCTCCTCTACTACTCCCCTTAGTAGTAGTATCATTGCCAGCAGACTCTACTTACAACAGCAACATTTGTATTAATGATTTTTTTAAAAAAAGAACTAAATGCAAGAGGCAGCCTTAAGTCTAGTGAGCCTTATAGGCAGTGGCAGAAACTACAGATCTAGTCTAAAAAAAAGAATTATAACTATGAAGAGCTTAACTGTGGAACGAATGTGACTGAAGGACTATAAATGTGTGCGGCATTTGGTGCCACCAGGTCAACACTGTTAAGGGAGAATCCATTCCTTCACCATTTCCTGTCTTTTTCTGCATATATTTAACTAGCTGTCCCCTGCCAGGCGTTGCTGTGGCCCAGTCTGTTGATCTGGAAAATAGAGGAATGAGAAAGTGTTGGTTTCTAATATCTGTAATTTCTTTATGCTTGTGGGTAAACAGTTGCTGTTTCTTTTGTCAGTGTTGATGTGGAGAGTGTCTGGTTTGCCCACATATCATTGTCCTCCTTTAAGGGTCCCTTTCAAATCTATACTATATCTCTTTGTGTCTATATCTATCTATCTATCTATCTATCTATCTATCTATCTATATCTATGGCTGGATGGCTCTTTGTCAGGAGGACTTTGATTACGTTTTCTTGCCCTGATGAAGGGAGTTGGATTGGATGGCCTTAAGTATTTTCTGTTGGTCATGGGGGTTCTGTGTAGGAAGTTTGCCCCGATTCTGTCGTTCGTGGGTTCAGAATGCTCTTTGATTGTAGGTGAACTATAAATCCCAGTAACTACAACTCCCAAATGTCAAGGTCTATTTCCCCCAAACTCCATCTGTGTTTATATTTGGGCATATGGAATATTCATGCCAAGTTTGGTCCAGATCCATTGTTTGAGTCCACAGTGCTCTCTAGATGTAGGTGAACTACAAATCCAAAACTCAAGGTCAATGCCCACCAAACCCTTCTAGTGTTTTCTCTTGGTCAGGGAAGTCCTGTGTGCCAAATTTGGTTCAATTCCATCGTTGGTGGAGTTCAGAATGCTCTTTGATTATAGGTGAACTATAAATCCCAGCAACTACAACTCCCAAATGACAAAACCATAATTTTTTGAGTGATGGCCATTCCTTGTGTTGTGAGACGTTTGTTGCCAAATTTGGTGTGATTTTGTTCAGATATACAGATTAAGGGGATTTTCCTTACCACAAGCGTCCTTCCTATGCCTAGAGAGCAGGGTGTTGTGCATGAGTGTGGGTGTGCACTAAATGCTGTTCTTATTTATTTGAATGTCTAGCTTGATTCCTTTGAAACATTCGGTGCCGATAAGAGATTAAAAACAAAAGTAGACCTTGGATTTTTAAAAAAGAGTAAAGCAGCTGAGCAAACCCTGCGAACAGATACTGTATGGAACAATCAACAAGGATTTTGCAAAGAGAAATGACTTGTGAATATGGATATGGTTATGGATTCCAATGTACACACAGATGAAGACTTATGAAACTGCATCCAAACACAATGTACCAAGTGCTTGGTATAGAGACATTTTTACAGTCCTTGAAAAGATTAGATAACTGGAGCACCAATTGGAATGGTATTTTGTGGACTGGGAGTGCAACATCCCAGAATTTCCCTATTAAGACAGTTGTTAACTGAGAGATGGCATGACTTGGGAGATCGATGTTGTGTTGACAGAGTTGTTGGGCGAGTGGGCTTATTAACAAAATACCCTCCTCATAAATGCACAGCAGAGTAACTTATCAGCAGCACTAGCCCAACGTGATAAAAAGAACACAAACACACAACATTATCTCTTCCATAGGAGGCTTTTCTTTATAGCAAAATAATATGGTTGTACTATTTACAAGGTTTCCATAACAAAAATAAAGTTCTTTCTTTGCTTCCATGCTAGGCTTCTTTCTCATGCAGATAAACAGCTTTGTTCTCACAGAGCCTCTTCTCACACTGAAGTTACACAGGAGCTTCGCACAGTAGCTTTTTACACACAGCGGCCTTCACACATGATGGCCTTCAACTTGGGGATTCTCTCACCAAAGCTTCTCACACACACTGAGGCCTTTCTCCCACTGAGGCCTACCTCTTACTGAGGCCTGCTAACACTAAGGGCTCTCTCAGGCTGAGGCCTTTCTCCCACTGAGGCCAACTACTGAGGCCTGCTAACACTAAGGGCTCTCAGGTTGAGGCCTTTCTCCCACTGAGGCCTACCTCTAACTGAGGCCTACTAACACTAAGGACTCTCTCAGGCTGAGGCCTTTCTCCCACTGAGGCCTACATCTTACTGAGGCCTGCTAACACTAAGGGCTCTCTCAGGCTGAGGCCTTTCTCCCACTGAGGCCTACCTCTTACTGAGGCTTGCTAACACTAAGGGCTCCCTCAGGCTGAGGCCTTTCTCCCACTGAGGCCTACATCTTACTGAGGCCGGCTAACACTTTCTCAGGCTGTAGCCTTTCTCACACTGAGGCGAACTGAGGCTTTCTCCCACAGAGACCTCTCACAGACTGAGGACTACTAAACTACAGGCGCATCTGCTTATATTGAACTGCAGCTTTTGCTGAGCCATTGCATCCATTTAACCCTTCTAGTGCTTGACTCACATTTTTGTAATTAAAAATACCTAGTTAATATTTCTGACCAGAGTTACTGTGATTGAAGAACCATAAAGCTTGGCATTGTCTGTTGCCGCTAGGTGAGCAGCTGGTAAAAATTAGTGTAAGGAGATGCATGGACTTGCATTGAGAGTTATAAGCAGATGGGTTGAGGGATCAGCTGCTGAAACGGTCTTTCTTCTTCCCAGCACCATCACGGCCACAGCCACTACAGCACAGAGACCCTCCCTTCCAAGAAGGACCAGGAGGAAGGGGTCACCGAGAAACTTCAGAATGGGGACCTGGATCACATGATCCCTAACAAGAACAGCGATCTGGAATGCAAGAACCCATCTGTCGATGAGAAAATGGTTAGCTCCTTGTCTGTTCAGGTCAGTGGGGAGAAAGTCGGCCCACGGGTTCATTGTGTCAATGTTTGCTGAAGGGAAAGCTGGGGAAAAGTAAACTTTAGAGGACATTTGGCCCATATTCCAGCTCTCCGAGTGCATTTTAGTCTGCTTTGATTGCAAAAAAAGGGGAGTGGACCTTGTCTAACCTTTTGCTTTTGGAGACATAACAAAGCATGGTTTGATTTACGCTGCAGGCCTATGTATTCTACTATGAATTAGGTAAGATTTGTTGTATTTTAGATAGTGAGGAGATGTGACACATTCTAGAACACAGAATCAGAAGAAGAAGTTGTGCTATAGTGCCTTCACTTTATCTCGCTGGGGATTCTGGGCCTGTTAGTCAGCCTGTTGACACAAGGGATTCAGGGTCTTCAATGTATTGTCGAAGGCTTTCATGGCTGGAATCACTAGGTTCTTGTGGGTTTTTTTCGGGCGATAGGGCCATGTTCTAGAGGCATTTCTCCTGACGTTTTGCCTGCATCTATGGCAAGCATCCTCAGAGGTAGTGAGGATGCTTGCCATAGATGCAGGCGAAACGTCAGGAGAAATGCCTCTAGAACATGGCCCTATCGCCCAAAAAACCCCACAAGAACCTAGATTCTGGGTCTGCAAGTCAACGGAAAGTCAGCAGGAGCAGCTGGACTCTGGAAATGAGCGGTCTCTGTTTGAAGGCCACATTCCAACAGAACTGAGCTCAGAAGATGACAAAGTCCAGGTGGATAGGCTAATGAGCAATTAGATAGAAGATTTTTGTTTCGTCAACATAGAGTTTCACATGAGAAAGCCCAAAAGTCAGGTCGCTTGTTAGCGAGAATGTCTTTTATAAGTTTCCCAAAGGAAAAGGCATGGTTTTCGATCTATATTAGCTAGGCCAACAGAATCTTTGGTCAGTGGAAGCAACGTTGGAGATTGAGGATAGAACTCCTGTCGATTCAAGGGATTTTTAATGCCATGTTCATGTTTTCTTGTTTGATCCTGTTTCATGTTTCCAAATGTTGAGGCCTGTTCCTGAATACTTACTGTATATTATGGACTAGCCGTCCCCTGCCACGCGGTTGCTGTGGCCCAGTCTGTGTATATGTGTTTTTTGTGTATATGTGTGTTTGTCTGCAATTAAGGCTCTGGAGAAGCTCTCGCTTGGTCAGCAAGCGAGAAGCCAAGGAGGCCAAGGGTCAACGCAATGTGTTCATGTCTGCAAAGGGTATTTAGCCTTGTAGCTGACAAGCAGGGGCTGTCAGTTCAATGTAGCTCTTCTCATGCAAACTTCTGTGGATTATCTTTGGCTTTTAGCAGCACGCTTCTGGCTTCCTGAGTCTGGGATTTAGGCCTTGTTTTCAACTGTGTTCTATGTACTCTAGTTTGAACATTACTAAAAGATGATGCTTCATATTTTTGCCTTTGGATCTTGGGAACTGTGTCTTTGCATTGAAGCCTTTGACCTGCCTATGGATGTTATGCATTTTTTATGCTCTGTTTTGATTTTGCCTTTTTCTCAATAACCTACAAAACCTACAGCTTTGGTGTGGTGGTGTCTGGAGCAAGGTGAAAACTACCCTGAGTTGCAACAGATACTATTTTCCTGAACTGCTTTCTATTGATTCTTCAATAAACCGCTTGCTATTTTACCTTGGACTGGTGTGTGTGTCAAGTGCAGAGGTGCTTCTCAGCCTTGGAGTACAACAAGTTGGTTCTCATGGCTAGATAGAGGAGGGCTGCCTTAGTTCAAGTGCTAACCCCTTGCCTTGTGTCTTCCTTTATCATATGCATTTCAGGATCTCCAGGCATCACAGAGCACATGCTATTGGTTGAAAGGAGTGCGATACTCTGATATTGGGACCTTGGCCTGGATGATCACTCTGAGCGATGGCCTTCATAATTTCATTGATGGTCTGGCCATTGGTGCCTCCTTCACCGTGTCAGTCTTTCAGGGGATCAGCACTTCCGTTGCCATTCTCTGCGAAGAGTTTCCTCATGAGTTAGGTAAGTGGGCCTTCAGGTAACTGTCTCACCCTTCCCTTCACTTCCTCCCATTTCTTCTGGAATTGTTTCTCCACTGGAATTTAGCGTGGCTCCTTGAAATCTTCAGGACAGAAGTCGGCATTCGAGTTTTCAGAGCTGGAATACTTATTTAGGTGCAAAGGTGTAATAGACTGAGCACTGAACTATAACTCGAGAAACTGGTGTTTGAATGGAAACCCATTGGTTTCACTCTCTCAGCCTCGAAGGTAAGGGCCACCCGTCTCTGAACCAATCTGGCCAATAAAACCCAGTGATAGATTCACAGTAGTGTTGCTGTATGTTAGACAGATACACAACAACAACAACAACAACAAAGAGGAACATGATCAGAGGATAGAAGTGTTTACCCTGGAAGTTGAGGCAGAAAGGATTTTTTAGTTGAACAGTCAAGATTATTAGAGTGGTCAGTGATATTTCTGACTAATGCTGTGTTTTAATACAGTGTTTCTCCACCTTCCTAATGTCATGACCTTTAATACCAAGGGGCATTAATACCTCATGTGTTGGTGACCCCCAACCATCACATTATTTCTGTTGCTACATCATAAGTGTCATTTTGCTACTCTTGTTAATCGTCATGTAAATATCCGATATGCAGGATGTGCTTTCATTCACTGGACCAGATTTGGCACAAATATCCAATATGCCCAAATTTGAATACTGGTGGGGTTGGGGGAGGTGGGATTGATTTTGTTGTTTGGAAGTTGTAGTTGCTGGGATTTATACTTCACCTATAATCAAAGAATACTCTGAACTCCACCAACAGTGGAATTGGACCAAACTTGGCACACAGAACTCCCATGACCAACAAAAAATACTGGAAGAGTTTGGTGGCATTGATCTTGAGTTTTGGAGTTGTAGTTCACCTATATCCAGAAGTATATTGTGGACTTGAACTAGGCCCAGATACTCAATATGCCCAAATGTGAACACTGGTGGAGTTTGGAGAAAATAGACCTTGACATTTGGGAGTTGTAGTGGTCTGGATTTATAGCTCATCTACCATCAAAGAGCATCTGAACCCCACCAATGACAGAATTGGGCCAAACTTCCCACACAAAACCCTCGTTTCTTGAAGGGACTTGCTGGTGCGAGCCTTCCTCCAGCCTTGCACACTCCCCCTCACCCACACATGCACACCATGCTGCCATGTGCAGAGCATGCCTGCTCTCCCCTTGGCTGAGAAGTGAAACTTACCTGGTAGGCCAGAAAGGGAGCCTGGATAACAGTAAGGCAGGCCTCCATTTTGGGAGGGTATGCCAGGGAGGCAGCCATCATGAGTGAGGATGGTTGGAAGAGGGGAGGAGTTGGGAGACTCCTAGGATTAGCCAGAGTTGTTGGAAGGAGCCAAGTCTGAGGAGGAAAAGAAGGTAGTGGGAGTTGGGAGTTGGGAGCTGGTGTGTGAAGGTGTAGAGTTTGAAACTGGGTTTTGAGGGAGAGAGCTAGGAGAGAGAGTGTCTGTGTTAGACAGTGCTGTGAGCTGACAGGAAAAAGGTCAGACAGCAGTCTGATCTCTTGTGAGAGTTAGTACAAGAGATTGGCTCTCCAGGCTGGGTTGGTTAACAGGAAGAACTCTAGGGTAGAGTTAGTTAATAACCCAGGGGCTTCCTAGATAGGCTAGTCAGACTCATCACTATTCTCTGAAAGAGAGCGAGGGTTTTGTTACCAACAGTTAGTTCTGTTTGATTAGCTCTGTCTCGAACAAAGTGAAGAGAACTGTTCAAGCAGCCAATCAAGCTGAAGTACTCTTGTAACAAGCCACACTTTTTGTACCTCTCAGGAATGGTTAGTTGTCTGTTTTAAAAATAAATCCTATTCTATTTAACTTTCAACAAAGTCTCTACTGTACATCATTCCATCGTCAAGCTTTTGTGATAGTTCCAGGAATTTTAACACCCCTTTGCTACAGAAAAGCCTCTCAACAAACCGTTGCTTGGGAGCCAGAGATAAGAGCAGTGTTGACAGGAGTGGGAAAAGTTCACCTCATTTTTTTTTTACATCCTAAAACACCTTAGGTTGGTGGAAGCTTTAATGCAAAAGAAAGTTTAAAGACAAGCAGTGTTGACTTATTATTTATTTATTTATTTGCTTTATTTGTATACCGCTGTTCTCAGCCCTTAGGCGATTCACAGCGGTTAACAACAATAGCAGCAAAAAATCAATGTTAACAACCACAGGAATATTTAAAAACAATTAACACAATAACAGATCAAGCAATTAACACAATAACCATTCACTGGCGTCTCATAACTGAAAACATGATCCAAACTCGTCATCCATTGTTCCGTTCCTATATTCATTGCACTGCCTATTCGAACACCTGTTCAAATAACCAGGTTTTCACCTTAACACATACCCATCATTGTCTCGCTATCATATTGGAGGCACAGGGGTGGGATTTTTTTTTTTTAAGGAAAGGAACACCTCTGGGAAGATCCATTCCTCCCGGACATAATATTAATAAGTCTCCAGCCTCACGTCTTTTGTTATACAAGCCAATCACAGTGGAGGATGGCTTTTGGTGGGAGGATTTGCCGTCTGTTTCCAAAACGGAAGAGAAGGACAGGCGGAGAGATCTTCATCCTTCTCTGCCAAAGGGGCTCCTCAGACCATCGGAAATATGTGTTTTCTGATGGTCTTTGGTGACCCCTCTGAAACCCCCTCACAACCCCCCCCCAGGGGTCCTGACCCCCAGGTTGAGAAACACTGTCTTAATAGGACTTGGGGGAGCAGAGTTTCATTTCTAGGTCTGTCAAGAGATCGTATTATTTTGTATTGTTTCCCTTTTGTCTGAATGTTTGAGCCTAGTGCCTAGATCTAGGGAAGTCATGCTCCCCATGCTCTATTCCGTTTGGTTAGACCACACCTGGAATATTGTGTCCAATTCTGGGCACCACAATTGAAGAGAGATATTGACAAGCTGGAATGTGTCCAGCGGAGGGCGACTAAAATGATCAAGGGTCTGGAGAACAAGCCCTATGAGGAGCGGCTTAAGGAGCTGGGCATGTTTAGCCTGAAGAAGAGAAGGCTGAGAGGAGATATGATGACGGCCATGTACAAATATGTGAGAGGAAGCCACAGGAAGGAGGAGGGAGCAAGCTTGTTTTCTGCTTCCTTGGAGACTAGGACGCAATGGAGCAATGGCTTCAAACTACAAGAGAGGAGATTCCATCTGAACATGAGGAAGAACTTCCTGACTGTGAGAGCCTTTCAGCAGTGGAACTCTCTGCCCCGGAGTGTGGTGGAGGCTCCTTCTTTGGAGGCTTTTAAACAGAGGCTGGATGGCCATCTGTCAGGGGTGATTTGAATGCAATATTCCTGCTTCTTGGCAGAATGGGGTTGGACTGGATGGCCCAGGAGGTCTCTTCCAACTCTAGGATTCTAGGATTCTATGATTCTATGTCCTCATTGGACATGGACACTCCTCTGGCACTGTAGTGAAATCCAGTTCTATCAGGTATCATTCATGGAGTTTAACTGCTGAACCAAAAATGTGAGTTGTCACAAGGGTGCTTCCCCCATTCCGATTTAAGTCCCCTTTCTCTTGTAGGTGACTTTGTCATTTTGCTGAACGCGGGGATGACCATCCAGCAAGCGCTCTTCTTCAACTTCATTTCCGCCTGCTGCTGCTACCTGGGGTTAGGCTTCGGAATTCTGGCTGGAAGTCACTTCTCCGCAAACTGGATTTTTGCTCTCGCAGGCGGGATGTTTCTCTACATTGCACTGGCTGACATGGTAAGTGGCGGAGGCTGAGATGGTTGGCACTGAGGGCTCGGAAAAGGGATGACCTCTCTGAGAGTGAAACTTTCCACACAACACTCTTTCCCAATTTTTTGCCATTATAATTCTTTTCCATTTCTTTTTTCAAGTTAGTGGCATCCATTAGTAATGCTAACCCCGCCTCCAGGGTGATGTTTAGTTCTATATTGTTACCTATTTTGAAAAATATATCGTTCCAAAACCTCTTCAATTGGGAGCATTCCCACCATAAATGAAAATATGTCCCTTTTTTGCATGCCACTTCTCCAGCAGAGATTGCTTTGCTTACTATCCATGTGATGTTGTTTAACCGGTTGGTATACCTTGGGAAGTCTGATCTGGCCATGGTGGTCCACGCTCTGGTTACATCCTGAATAGATTACTGCAATGCACTCAATGTGGGGTTGCCTTTGAAGACTGTTCAGAAACTTCAACTAGTCCAACGGTCGGCAGCCAGATTGCTCACTGGAGCATCATACAGGGAGCATACCACACCCCCCCCCCCCCCCCCCCCCCCCCCCCCCCCCCCCCCCCCCCCCCCCCGTTACGTCAACTCCACTGGCTGCCAGTCCATTTCCGAGCACAATTCAAAGTGATGGTCTTGGCCTATAAAGTACAACTCAGCCCAGCTTACTTGTCCGAACGTATCTCCCTCTATGTTCCGCCTCGTAGTCTAAGATCTGCCGGGGAGGCCCTGCTCTCAGTCCCACCAACTTCGCAAATGTGGCTGGTGGGGACAAGGGACAGGGCCTTCTCGGCGGTGACTCCCCGCCTGTGGAACTTGCTCCTTAGCAAAATTAGATCGCCGTCCCTTTCTTTCAGAAGAAAACTGAAGACGTGGTTGTGGAACCAGGCTTTTGGCTAATGGATTTAATAGCACCTGACTAGTGAATTGGACCAGATGGTTGTATAATGGAAATGCCTTTATGATTGGATAACTAATGCTGTTTTAATGTATTGTATTGTAAGATTTTATTTTGCTTTTCTAATTGTAATTATTGCGGCATCGAATCGTTTCCATTGTTAGCCGCCTGAGTCCCCCTGCGGGGGTGAGAAAAGCAGGGTTGAAATGCTGTAAATAATAATAATAATAATAAATATACCATCTCCATATAATTTCATTTTAATCTTATTGATAGATTCTTAACCTTACTTACTTAGGCGATCCCTCGTTGTCCGAGTAGGATAGTCTGCAAATATCACAATATAACAACAATATGAAACCATAAATACACAATAGGATTAAAACAATAGCATTAGTTATACAATCGTATAGCAGTTTACATTATTATACCAATCATATGGTCCAGTTCAATGTCCAAAGTGCCGTTATGCCTGCTAGCCAAAGGCCTGGTTCCAAAACCATGATTTCAGTTTTTTTCCTAAAGGAAAGGTGGGAGGACGCCAATCTAATATCTCTGAGGAGCGAATTCCACAAGCGGGGGGTCACCACCGAGAAGGCCCTGTCCCTCATCCCCACCAGACCAAGAGCAGGGCCTCCCCGGTGTATCTTAAACTACTATGACCTAGATAGTGGTTTGTTGAGCTGTTGTTACAAATGTTTGGGTTGGGAAGGGTGTTGGGAGTTGCTGATGCCGTGTCTTCCTTTCCTCAATAAGTTCCCTGAGATGAACGAAGTGAGTCGGGAGGACGAGCGGAGCGGCAGCGCTTTGATCGCTTTTGCTATCCAGAACGCGGGGCTGCTCACGGGATTCGCCATTATGGTCCTCCTCACCATGTACTCAGGACAGATCCAGATCGGATAGGGACACGCGCCAGGCCCACCGCAGGCACGTGGACTGTGTGAAGCACAGCGGGTTTTTCTTCTTCTTCCAGGGATTACAGGAAAGGTGACGTTTATTGAAACCTGCTTCAGAAACTTCTCATCGGATGAACTTCAGTGGCTGGTGAAGCTCCTTAATATAGGATCAAGTGACCTAAAGACCCATTTCCTTGTGTAGCCACAACCCCTTGCTTCCTCCCTTTCGCCAACATCTTCTGCTAGACCGGGCATGGGCAAACTTGGGCCCTCCAGGTGTTTTGGACCCCAACTCCCACCATTCCTAACAGCCTCAGGCCCATTTCTTTCCCCCCTCAGCCGCTTAAGCTTAAGGGCCCAGTGTGTTAGTAGGCCTCAGTATGAGTAGGATTCAGTGTGAGAAGAGGCATCAGTCTGAGAGAGCCCTCAGTGTGAGAAGGCGTCAGAGGGCGAAAGGCCTCGGTATGAGTAGGCCTCAGTGTGAGAGAGGCATCAGTCTGAGAGAGCCCTCAGTGTGAGAAGGCGTCAGAGGGCGAAAGGCCTCAGTATGAGTAGGCCTCAGTGTGAGAGAGGCATCAGTCTGAGAGAGCCCTCAGTATGAGAAAGCGTCAGAGGGCGAAAGGCCTCGGTATGAGTAGGCCTCAGTGTGAGAGAGGCATCAGTCTGAGAGAGCTCTCAGTGTGAAAAGGCATCAGAGGGCGAAAGGCCTCGGTATGAGTAGGCCTCAGTGTGAGAGAGGCATCAGTCTGAGAGAGCCCTCAATGTGAGAAGGCGTCAGAGGGCGAAAGGCCTCAGTATGAATAGGTGTCAGTGTGAGAAGAGGCATCAGTCTGAGAGGGCCCCAGTGTGTTAGTAGGCCTCAGTATGAGTAGGCCTCAGTGTGAGAGAGGCATCAGTCTGAGAGAGCCCTCAGTGTGAGAAGGCGTCAGAGGGCGAAAGGCCTCGGTATGAGTAGGTTTGGTGTGAGAAGCGGCTGAGGGGGAAAAGGAAGGGGCCTGAGGCTGGTAGGAATGGTGGGAGTTGGAGTCCAAAACACCTGGAGAGCCCAAGTTTTCCCATACCTGTGCTAAACTCTAGCAAGAGAAAAGCATCCTGCTTCCTTGTTGTCAACTAGAGACGTTTGAATTCTGCCATCCATTTTGGTCTGAACGTAATGCGCAGATCCCTTTTGAAAGTCGATTTGAAAGAAGGGAGCTCTTCCTTCCCTTCCCAGTAAATTGCTGAATTGTGATAATAAGAGTTTTATACGGATTAGGTGATTGCTCAGTTGAATTTAAAAGCATTTTAAAAAGTGAATTGAATGGTCCACAAACTAATTTTTTTTAAATACACACACACACACACAAAAACTGTGGGTGGGAGATAGCTTTTTGGAGGAAAAAAGTAGAAAGATTCCTACAATTTATTTGCATAATCTAAACACAAATAATCCATTTTCCCAATAGTTTGACCAGACAAATGTCAGCGATTTTTGTTGGTTGTATAAGAGATTTAATTGACCTAAGGGGTTTTTTTAAAACCAGGTGGCAGCTATACTTGCAAAATTTGGGACAAAAGAAGATGAATCACTACAAATATCCTACATGTGTTGTTGAAGACTTTCATGGCCAGAATCACTGGGTTTTGGTGAGTTTTCCGAGCTGTATGGTCATATTCCAGAAGCATTCTCTCCTGACATTTCACCCATGCAATGGCAGGCATCCTCAGAGGTTGGGAGGTCTGTTGGAAACGAGGCAAGTGGGGTTCATATATCTGTGGAATGATGTCCAGGGTGGGAGAAAGAACTCTTGTCTATTTGAGGTAGGAGTGAATGTTGCAATTGGCCATCTTGATTAGCATTGAGTGGCCTTGCAACTTCAAGGTCTGGCTGCTCACTACCTGGGGGAATCCTTTGTTGGGAGATGACTAGCTGGTCCTGATTGTTTCTTGTCTGGAATTCCAGTTTTTGAGTGTTCTTCTTTATTTACTGTCCTGATTGTAGAGTTTTTTTAAAATACTGCCAGCCAGATTTTGTTCATTTTCATGTTTTCCTCCTTTCTGTTGAAATTGTCCACATGCTTCTTGTGGATTTCAATTGCTTCTCTGTGTAGTCTGACATGGTGGTTGTGAGAGTGGTCCAGCACTGCAGACTAACTCAACTAGAGAAGTCAACCATAGCAGAGTTGTCGCGCTTTATCTCACAATTCAGCAGCAGATCAGTTGCACAACTTCAGCGCTTTCCAGTAGCTTCTTCCTGCACAGTATTTTCAGTCAACTGCTCCCACAAACTGCAGTCACTCTGGAACTCTTTTACAGGCACTTGAGCACATGCCCGGCCATTGTCAGTTTTACTATTGTTTTCCCCCCCAATCTAGATGACACTACAAACTTACCACAGCACACGGTTATATCTTGTCTTAGCAGACAGGTTCTTTTAATCAATTACACAGAGCCTTCGGCAAACAGCATCACAGCACAAAGAGAGAGAGAATACACTGTACATGACTTCCTTATATACAATTCTGAACATTTACACATAGCAATCTCTGATTGGTTCCCAACTCATTGACTTAACTCAAACCCAGGATTGCATCATTAACACTCATTTGGACCAGGCCAGAACACATTCCCCAAATGATTCCCTATATACAGGTAATGCATGACTCAGCATTTCCAATAGAAGCCCATTAGCAGTGCATGACTCAGCTATATTACATAGCAATACATTGTGAAACCTTAATGAACCAACCTGAACACAGCATATTATTTAGGAACACAAAAATGCTGGACCACTCTCACAACCACCATGTCAGGCTACACAGAGAAGCCATTGAAATCCACAAGAAGCATGTAGACAATGTCAACAGAAAGGAGGAAACCACGAGAATGTACAAAATCTGGCTACCAGTATCACAAAACTCCAAAATCAGACAGTAAATAAAGAACAACACTCAGAAAAGGTGAATTGCAGACAGGAAACAATCAGGGCCAGCTAACACCACCCAACAAAGGATTCCACCAGGCAGGAAGTAGCTAGGCCTTGAAGCTGCAAGGCCATTCAATGCTAATCAAGGTGGCCAATTGCAACAGTCACGGGTACCTCCAACAGACAAGAGTTCTTTCTCCCACCCTGGACATCATTCCACAGATATATAAACCCACTTGCCTAGTTTCCAACAGACCCCACAACCTCTGAGGATGCCTGCCATAGATGTGGGCGTGAAACCTCCAACAGACAAGAGTTCTTTCTCCCACCCTGGACATCATTCCACAGATATATAAACTCCACTTGCCTAGTTTCCAACAGACCTCACAAGCTCTGACAATGCCTGCCATAGATGTGGGCGAAATGTCAGGAGAGAATGCTTCTGGAATATAGCCACACAGCCCGGAAAACTCACAGCAACCCAAATATCCTACATGTTTGGAGGGACGTACAAAATAGATATAAACTCTTTTTAGCTTCCTCTTCTCATGTTTTTGGAGTACTTTTAATTTATTTTGTCTTCTTTCAAAAGAATCAAATGCCTGAGAGTGAACGGCATCTTTTCAAGATGAACGCGGTTGAATCTGACTGCCGACCTGGCTGGCTGGCAGGCGGGAGAGAGCAAGCTGTGCATTGTGTATTGAGTTGAGGAGGTTTCCTTGCAGTTAAGCTAAGACCAAACGCAGAGGCCGGTTTTGTCTCAGGGGGACGTGTTGTAGGGTTACGTTTCTCACGAGTCACTAGGTGAACTAGAGTATTATCATATTGATAATATCAAAGCCAATTTGGTTGCATAGCCGATGTTCCACTTCACATATTCTCTTTTTAAGAATTTGTGGGTTTTGTCCTTTCTCAACAAAAGGATGCCCAGTTCTCTGAGGAAAACTGAGGAGATACCTTTCGTTCTCTGTCAGTGTGTCTCTTGTGAAATCAGTGTCTGTCTGTCTCCAAATCACTCTCCCGGTGGAGAAGGGAATGAATGTTTTGTCAAAGGCTTTCAGGTCCAGAATCACTGAGCTACTGTGAGTTTTCCGGGCTGTATGGCCATGTTCCAGAAGCATTCTCTCCTAACATTTCGGCCATATCTATGGCAGGCATCCTCAGAGGTTGTGAGGTCACATCTATGGCAGGTATCCTCACAACTTCTGTGAGATTTATTTATTTATCATGTCAGGGGCAACCAGTCAATTGTATTACATTTCTAACAGAACAAAACAGACAGACAAACAGACAAAAACACAAGGTTTGCAAGCTTGGTAGTGGATTAAATGTCCTTTCACCAGTCTCTGTCCCCTTGGAGTGCCTCTGGTGTTGCCGCAAGAAGGTCCTCCATGGCGCATGTGGCAGGGCTCAGGGTGCATTGCAACAGGTGGTCTCTGGTTGGCTCTTCTCCGCACTCTCATGTCGTGGATTACACTTTGTGGCCCCATTTCTTGAGGTTGGCTCTGCATCTCGTGGTGCCAGAGCGCAGTCTGTTCAGCGCCTTCCAAGTCTCCAGTCTTCTGTGTGCCCAAGGGGGAGTCTTCATTTGGTATCAGCCATTGGTTGAGGTTCTGGGTTTGAGCCTGCCACTTTTGGACTCTCGCTTGCTGAGGTGTTCCAGCGAGTGTCTCTGTAGCTTAGAAAACTATTTCTAGATTTAAGTCGTTGACGTGCTGGCTGATACCCAAACGGGGATGAGCTGGAGATGTCTCTGCCTTGGTCCTTTCACTATTGGCTGCTACTTCCCGGCGATGTCAGGTGGTGCAATACCGGCTAAGCAGTGTAATTTCTCCAGTGGTGTAGGGCACAGACACCCCGTGATAATGCGGCATGTCTCATTAAGAGCCACATCCACTGTTTTAGCGTGGTGAGATGTGTTCCACACTGGGCATGCATCCTCAGCAGCAGAGTAGCACAGCGCAAGGGCAGATGTCTTCACTGTATCTGGTTGTGATCCCCAGGTTGTGCCAGTCAGCTTTCGTATGATATTGTTTCTAGCACCCACTTTTTGCTTGATGTTCAGGCAGTGCTTCTTGTAGGTCAGAGCACGGTCCAGAGTGACTCCCAGGTATTTGGGTGCACTGCAATGCTCCAGTGGGATTCCTTCCCAGGTAATCCTCAGAGCTCGGGATGCTTGCCTTCTGTGAGAGAAACATCAGGAGAGAATGCTTCCGGAACATGACCATACAGCCTGGAAAACTCACAGCAACCAAGGAATTCATGTTGTCATTTGCTCTCATCCCTTTCCCTCAAATCGCTTTGTGATGCAGAAAATGGTCAGATTCCTCTGCTGTGTCCTTCTGAGGAAGGCAGTAAAGGAGAGCTAGATCCTACGTCCATCGCAGATATCCTAAGACATGCTGGTGAGGTGACAAGCCCAAATAACAGCTCTTCCCTTCTGTCCCGATGCCAGGGCTCTGCCAGTCTGCAGGCAGAGGTGAACCAAAACAAACACCTAGCTTCTGTCACACTGTTTAATTAAAGCAGCCTGACACTTTCCATAGTCCAAATATAAAACATAAAGATAGCACTTAGCCACAGAATATAAAACTAAGACTGGTAAGAAATGGCGATGCAGGTTTGGGAGAACCCCATAGTCCAGTGTTTCTCAGCCTGGGGTCCCCAGATGTTTTTGGCCTACAACACCCAGAAATCCCAGCCAGTTTACCAGCTGTTAGGATTTCTGGGAGTTGAAGGCCAAAAACATCTGGGGACGGGACCCCAGGTTGAGAACCACTGCCATAGTCAAAAGGTTCAGTCCAGTAGTCAGACACTGAGAGTTCAAGGATCAAGAGTCTATACTGTAGTCAATAGCCAGTCCAGAGATTCAAGGTTCCAAGAGTTCAGGAGACAGGTCAGGATACCGAAAAACTAC